AAAAAAAAAAAAAAAAAGTAATGCATGCTTTATATGGGTGGGAAAGAATCCCTTTTTCCAAAAGAATCTGCGTAACAGTGGTATTCTTGCTTAAATATTTAATAAATTCAGCATCCACATCCTGTACAAAAGAACAGTAGCAGGGGAACACCGTGTGTGTTTGTGAGTGTGCACATGACTGAGAGGTCTGTGCCAATGTAGAATCCAAGTTTATTCACCATGGGAATGTGTTCCATTGTTGCAGGGCACAGATTAAGTAGTACCAAAAATAAGTAAATAAATAAAACTTTAGGAAAGGGGCTGGTAAGATAGCTCAGCAGACTGGGTGTCTACTTAGGCAAGAGCAAGTGCAGGGACCGGTTCGATCCCAGGTACCATAGACTGTGCTGGCCCCACCCCCCCAGAAGCGCTGAGTCAGCGACCAAGTCTGGGTGTTGGGGCGCATGCCTGCAATCCCAGAGCTGGGGAGACTGAAAAAAGGAGGATAACTATGATCCCGAGCTGCGGTGTGACCCTGTACAAAATATGTAAATTTAAGAGAAAAAAAAAAAAAAAAAACTTTAGGAAGGGATAATTAACAACTTGAAGAATGACTTGTTATGTAAGGTCAAAGTAACACCCATATAAAGGAATTTGATGTTATAGGATAGTCTGACAAAAGTAAATTATTAAATGAGGAAAAATTATTTAATAGAATTCTACAGTCAAATTACTTCCTATCATAAAAGCAAACTTAGCCAAATATTCTTTCTTCTCACGTCAGTTTAGTAATTCCTGCTTCCTAGTGAAGGTGCACATTTCATCCATGTTGTATAATTCCATCATTAAATTAGCTTGCTGACTACGCATATCCGTGTCCCTGTAACTGGCTTGGGAGCTGCCATATGGATTAGTAAAACACACTTCTGGGTTTTCCTGGGTCATTTTTTGACCTTCGGTTAAGATCAAGTATAGTATATGGGTGGATAAAGAAGCCTAACCATGGAGACATATACAGTCACTTGCTCTTTCTTCTAAGATTCTTCCTTTGCTCTTTTTCCCTGTGGCCAAGAACTAAGGAGCTTTGCTCTGTTTTCTGCCATGAGTTTTCTGCTTCAGAGTCAGGTAACCATGGATTAAACACCCTGCAACCATGGGCCAAATCAAACCTCTCCTCAATTTAATTGAGAATGTACAATGGTGCCTTGGTTTACAAACTTAGTTCTATGATTCTGGAAGCAAACTGAACCAGACAAGAACTGAATCAAATTTCCCCATAAAGTCAATGCTAAATCTAATCATTGAGTTTGATTCAGTTCTTGTCTACCTCAGTGTGCAACCAGAATTGAGAAAAAAATCAAGTTCATGAACTGAGGTTCCATTACACTGGGTCTCAGGGAGAGAAAATTGACATATAAGTACTCATAATATCCACTAATGACTAATGGTCTTTAGTAATCTATTTAAAAGAGATGAGGGCTGAGGAGATAGCTCAGTGGAACAAGTGCTTGCCTGGCAAGCTCAAGGTCCTGAGTTCAATCCCTGGTACCACCAATACAAACAAACAAAAGAAAACAAAAACAAAACAGATGCTGTGAATTTGTGTTCTATCAGTCTTTGTAGGGGTTTGTTTTACAATCTTTCCAATAAAAACAATGTTTTACTTCTTTTTGATTTATTTTCCAACACAGGTTATTTACAATGTCAGGCTGGCCTTGAATTCACCCTGTCTAGTCTTGAATTTGTGGCCTTTTTGCCTTGGCTTACTAAGTGGGAATTATAGGCCTGTACCACCATACTCAGCTTTAACTGTTCATTTTATGATTCGTCTGTTCTCTTTAGTCACTCTCTGTTCTTATTGCTGTCTTATTTACTTTGGGAATTTTTTTTTTTTTTTTTTTTTTTTTTTTTTTTTTACAGAACTGGGGATTGAACTCAGGCCCTTGTGCTTGCCAGGCAAGCACTTATTCTACAGAGCTATCTCCCTGGCCCCTGTCTTATTTACTTTGATTTGATGCGTTCTTCTAGTCTGAGGTAGAGTATATTTTGATGAAACACTAAAAATCTTAACTTTTCCATCCTTAAGTTCCATGGAAATGTATTTGAATGTGGAGTGAATCTTGGTTTACTCAACCTGCTTGGAATTCAGTAATTTCTTTAGATCTATGAGAGTGTTTCAATATTTAGTCTTGGGCAGTTTAACTTTGTTACTTTAAATCTTTTTCGGTTCCATTTTCTTCATTCCGTTCTCCTATACCACTATTTTTCTAGATTAAAGCCTTCTGAAGCATTACTCTTTTACTTCACTGTCTGTTCCTCTTTTTCCCCTCTCTGCAATGGAATTTTAATTCAACTCTGGGCTTCAATTAAATACTTCTTCAAATGCTACAGCAACTGTGTTTGCCTCAAAATTTAGCAATCATACTTTTGATTTCTAAGAATTCGTTCTTTGTAGGGCTGCTAGTGTTCCCAGGATCCATTTCTTATATTACGTAATCCTACTAAAACAGCAGGAGTTTTTGTCTCTATTCTCTTCTGTTAATTATTTCTACTCCATTCAGAAAACACTGTTGAGTTTCTTTGTTTCATGCTGTGTGCTTATGACTGTCTTCATATCGGACCACTTATATTTAACAATAAAAATTTGGTGAATCATCCCAGTTAGCAAAGATGGGATTTTTGTTTGTTTTTGTAATGCTGTGAATGAAGGGCTGTTTCTATGTTGGGGTTCTTTGTCTACCTGTGTCATACCTCAGGGATTTGCAAAGGTGGACATTATGGATTAGGGGGTTTTACTTTAAAGCAGGCAGAGCTGAGAATTCCTTTCAAATACCAGATTGAGGGTAACTCTATGCCGCAAAATTATCCTAGCATCTTTAATTAACCCAATTCTCCATGTGTTGGAGATGAACTCAGAATCCAGCCAACATTCCACATAGCATCTTGGATCCAACTTTGGAAAAAGGCTCTGTAAGTTATGATTCCTTCTATTCTATTTCTCACCCATCTTATCCACAACGTTAGTTAAAACCTCTATCTACAATGATCATCCCCTCTTGAGATCTTGAATTTTCTGATCTTATAATAGGATAAGGAACAAGAAGAAGGAAAAAAAGAAAAACCCCTGAAAAATAAGAACTTTGAGGAAAAAAGAACAAACACTAAGGATGTTACATTACAATGGGACTAAGAACTCTGACTCAGAGAAAGATCAACAGAACAACTAATAACAGGTAATTTATTAAAAGTAAGACTGGCTGATTAGAAAGAATTTTACTGAAGCTTGAGAAAGGAAGGAACAAATGAAAGATGAGAAATGAAGATGAGAGAGGAAAAAAAAGAAGGAAAGTGACAAGAGAGAAAGGTAGGAGAGGGAAAATGGAGAGAAAGCAGAAAAATAGAGAGGAAGGTGAAACTAAGAATTATAAACATACCTCCTGAATGGTGTGACTCATTAGTGACTCCACTGGTACTACTACTTTGGTCTTTAGTGACAGCAGATGAAGCAATTACATCTTCTTGATACCATATATTTCCATACAATGTTTTAAAAATAGTTGTTATATCTTCTTGACTAAGAATAAACTGTTAAAACAACACAGCATTTCAGAAAGAACTATAGGCACAATGGATTTGGCTCTTTTTAACATTATTACCACCTATACTCATAATTCGCATTCAAGGAACATGATTGTTTACTTCAGTTCATGAAAATCCTGAAGCACTGAGGAATTCTAACATGTGATCTTTAGTAGCTTATGAAATACAAAACTAGATACCTAAATCAATGAAGCAACGAACAATGACCTACTATGAATATACCAAATCAGTAATCTTAATATTTGAAATTAACTGTAAACTGCAGTTATCAAGCTATCTCAGACTTTTATGGTAAGTACATTTTATAAACAATAATCAAATCAATATATTACATTTGGATAATGAAAAAATACTTCATATATGTTTTATATTATTTTTATTTAAGCCTCACAATACTCCTTTGGTATACAGAATATGATCCTGAGTTTTATAAAAGCTGAAACTAACTTGTAAAATAACATTTCAGAACTCAAAGGAGTAACTTCAAACCCTATGTGTTTTGAATTCGGCCTAAAACCAACATCACAGGACCTATCTTGAAAGATACAGTGGTCAATTATATGTTTCAGCTTGGCTTGGTTGTAATAGCAGGTCTTAAACCAAACAGCATGCCTCAGTTCTAAGTCTGTCAGGCAGTTCTTAAATAATATGGCTTTAAATGAGGAATGTCTGGCTGGGGAGACTGAGCTGGCTGCTGAAACTGGGTGTAGTGATGCAGGCCTGTAATCCCAGCACTAGGGAGGCTGAGACAGGAGGATCACTATGAGTTTGAGCTGTGTAGCGAGACCCTATACCAAACAAACAAATAAGGAATATTTGTATTCAGGACAATTTGGGGTGGGGAAGACTCAAATTCCCCCTGAAACTTCCCTAAAGGCAGTGAGCATTTGCAGGTGCTCTGAAGTATCATCTGAATATTCTGTAGAAATTCTCCCACAGAAAAGAGTATGGGAAAGCAGCACTTTTTTTTTCCACACCATAATCAGTCTAATGTGGGCCAAATTGGGTAGAGATTTATACAACGAGCTGGTGAAATGTGCTACATATGATTTGTAAGTTTCTATCTGCTGTTTCACCAACATTATCAGACTTTAAGAAGGCACTTTCCATCTCCGACCCTATAAATTACAGAAAGCATCCACATTATCTTACACACTAACAGCTTAAAGTCTTTCAAGTGACAGTTTAATCTGTGAATTAAAATTTGATTTAAAAGTCACAAATCTCTAAAATGAGGGTTTTCACTGATAGAACAAAGTTTTAAATAGAATCAAACAGGGAAACACAGTGGAAGAAGGAAAGAGGATTTAAGTAGGTTTGTATAGAAAACCTTCCAGTATGTATGTTGCTTCATATATGCTTCAGGAAAGTATATGGTAGCTTCAATTTCCATTCAACAGAGAAAAGTATGAACTTGAGATTATTCTATTAGAGATCTGTGAAGCATGGTCAACCAGCAGACAGATAAAACTATACTTACAGTGATGAATCTGCCATTTTGATCTTCCTCCCTAGGACTTCCTCTTCTTTAAATATTTTTTCTAGCTTATTTTCATATATTCTTACTGATGAGTCCTCAAATCACTATTTCTATGATAGATCTCTTTGCTAACTTCTCTATTAACATGCTGATTAGAATCTGCTTCTTTTATGAATTGCATCAATTTAAAACTTTTAATTATTTTTACTATCTAACTACTGCCTATTACAGATAACCATCATTTGGCTTAGAGTAGTAAAGTCCATAAAGTCAGAAATCCTGTAGCTTCTTTGTCACAGTACCTCCCATATCTAGTGGAGGACAGGAGATAGTCAGACCACTCAAATAGTTGTTAAAGAAGTGCTTTTCAACAAACCAAACAGAAAAGAAACTATTAAGCAGCTACAAAATTACCTCCATGGGCTTTAACTGAGCATTTACATTAAAACAAGGAACTTCCTGGTACCAATTCCAGGATAAATTTCGCTCAACAACCACTTCAAGATTCAATGGCAGTAGTAGATCCAGTACTTCTTGGTATCCACCATTAATAAACTGAGACCTATAAGTAGAAATAAATTTTTTTTCAGGTAAGAAAAAAGGAAGATTAATTTTTCATTTTATGCAACAGTAGAAATCAATGATTTTGTGTGTGTGAAGAGAAACATCAACTTCATCAGTTTTTTACATACCAAAATGAGATGTTCAATCCCACTAGAAACCAAGTTGATCATCTCTAAGCTACAAAGTTCATTTTTTAAAAAATAGGACATGATGAACAATATGATAACAAATGCCCAAAATATATAAGCTGATTAGAAAATCCTTAAAATAAGAATTATCAAAAAAGAAAAAAAGAAAAAAGGAAAGAATTATCTTTAGTCAGGAAAGAAACAAGTAACACTTTACTATAAAAACATTTTAATTTGATGATTTAGAGATTAAGTATATATATTCCCTCCATAAAAAACAAAATATCTATTTCTATGGGTCCAAATAATAGAAGTGGACCATATTTGTTTTACCAACCACTTAAAAAACAAGACTGATGCTCAGGAGTGAAGACAAGAGTAGTAAGTAAAAACAAGTACTAAGTCACAGAACCCCTTTAAAGACTACAGGACCATAAAAGCCTTTTATTGTACCTTCAAAGGACAATCTCCAAAGGTTACTTATCAATATTGTACTTCTATTTTAACTGGCAGCAAATCCTTAGGGTATAAAAACATGACTATAATTTTGGCTATTGTTTACACAATGGGAAGGAAATACAGAAGTCATCAGCAATCTTTCAGAACATTCATTATCAAACCATTTCATGGATGGACTATGAAGTGACATACTTAAACATGCATGCATGCCTGCAATTTCTACTTACTGCTGTTAAAGATTCTCAAAACCCTAGAGAGCAGGGAAGTCCAACCCATAGTTGAGGGACTGCAAGCAGCCCTCCACGGCTAGTAATGCGGCCTCACAGAATCATAAACGTTTAACATTATATGATTGTTTGCATAACTCCACCACACAGTGCTTGGGCGTGCACTGCAGACGTAACAACACTCTACAGGTAAGCGTGTGAGGTACAGAGCTAACTCTGCCTCCTGTGTTTACCATGGTCAGTACAATGAAATCATGCCGGTGTTGCGTCTATAGGATGACAAAACTAGGCAATGAACTATAATTGTATTTCAGCTTCTTATACATGTGTTTGTAAACGCAGGTGATTACTGTTAATCAGACATGTAAGTTTTCATATTTCATTGTTAAACTCACTTATTTTTGTACAGTAATAACTTCATACAGTTTTTAGAAGCTGTGGCATGAAGTATCAAATGATACTTTTTTAATGAGTTATAATTACATATACAAATCACTAATACTAGAAAAATAAATGGTTAATATTTATTAATTTTTGGAATATACAGAACCACAATGAGATATTCAATTCAAAGAACACTTTGATCTATTTACTAGACTTTTATAAGATCTATCCTTCCAGAGAAAAATATCCCTCAGTCCACAGTTACACCTTATTCATATCATTATTTTCTGGTAGTATTTTTATTTGTGACCAATTATTTCCAAAATGAACCACAGAGTCCATTCTAGAAGACATTGATGGATTAGTTTCACAAAACAAGTCCAATAGCCCACTAATTTTACATTCATGTTGCCCCCTTTTGTGTATGCCGTGTTACAATAAAAAAAAAAGTTTTGTTACTTATATGCATTAACTATAGTACATATTTTACATGAGGACTGCATCAATTCCTCTTCACTCAATGCAACCCCGACAAGCCAAAATGTTGGCTGCTCATCCTATGGAGGAATACTGACTAAATGTACAACTTTAATGGCTATGCATCATATTAGGGCTACACAATAGTCATTACAAAAAATTTGCTTCCAATGCTTTATTATAAGTACTTGGATAATTATCTTGATAAATCTAAGCATAGCTTCTATAGATAAAATACAATAAGCATAAATGTTCCATAAAAAGATTACGTCATCTAGACATTCATGGAGGTGCGTGCCTAATTGTTACAGATTCAAGGCCAGCCTACACTACATATAAAATCAGCCTAAATTATATGAGTCCCTGTCTAAAAAAAATAAAATTACCTCATCTGAGAGGAAAACAAAAAAACAAAAACACTGATCAGTAAGTATTACTCAGTACCTTAGTGTTAGGCATTTTCGTTTCTTTTCACCTACAAGTACCCTTAAGTTTTCTATCACTGTATTTAATACAATGCATTTTAATAGACACATTATTCATAGTTTCAATTAAAAGAAAGCTTCACAAAAGGAGGGACTACATTCATATTATCCTTTGTTCTGAGCTTATCTTACATGACTGGCATGTTACCTCATCAATAAATATTTCCTAATTGGATTAGTGTATAAACAATAATATAAGTAGACACAAATAGGAATACTTATTTGTCTTTATGTGCTAAGAAAGAAACTAAGCTAGGCTAAATTTTTTAATATCAATTATTTTAAAGTTATTTCGGGATAAGTTGCTTATACTGTATAACTGAATAACTATATTTGCAGGAATGATAAATAAAAAATCTGAATAAAATTTACATCAGTTATTTATAATAGTTAAAAAAAAATGAAGCCAGTTAAATTTCCAACAAAGATAAATGGATTTCTAAAAACCTAAGCAACAAAAAATATACTTACAAAAAAATCATGGAGTTAAAATAAAATAGGAAATACTTTTAACATTTTGTTGGGTTATTTGTTTTTGGTACCATGAATCAAACTCAGTACCTTGCACTTGCCAGGTAGGCACTGTGCCACTGAGCTACATACTGGCCCTATCGTATTGTTAAGGGAACAATAATTTATTTAAGTTAAATATATATGCAAATAAAATAAAAAGAACAAATGTAGTTTATTAATTTTTTAATACAAACTTTCACCTAATTTACATCTATTTTTAAATCAAGATGTAATTAAAGTAGATATATAAACTTTTTTTAAAAATTTTTATTTATTTATTTTGTGTGTGTGTGTGTGTGTGTGTCCAGCTCAACCCACCAGGGGGAGGGGCTGGCTGGCATGTGGTGCTGGGGGATTGAACCG